ACAGCAAGAGACTTGGGAAAAGGGAAAGTGTTATGGGAGGAGGGGAGAGGTCAAAGGTGAGAGAGATGAGTAGCAGAAAGATGGAGGATGGCGGTGAGAACGTGAAAGGAAGACCCAGAGATGTGGAGGCACGGATTGCTCTCATGTTTCTTGACTCCTGCTGGGGCTCTGTTCTGGTTGGCCCTGCAGCATCAGTACCAATCATGCACCATGCAGGATGGGGCCTCAGGTACCTCTGAAGTCCTAGAGCTGCAGTGTCTGAAATCTCTTCAGGCAGAGAATCACAAGTGTGGCCCCTGTCTCCCATTACCTGCACTGTCCCCTCCTGAGCCATCAGGTCTGGCTGCAGCCATTTGTCAGAGCTGCTCTGTTGGGGTTTGAGTGCTCCCTGGCAAGCTCACCCCTTCCCAGCGGGGTTCTGCACACTCCTCAGATAAAGCCAAGAGGCTTAAACCATCTGCTTTCTTCTCTTCTCTACATCTGCAAAGTTACCCTGACAAAAGATGCAGTGGCGGGGATGGAGAGGGGGGAGGGTAGCACAAGAAAATCTCACTTTGCTGCCTTCCCTTAGAATTAATGAGCTAAAATATTGGATGAGCGCTGCAGTCAGCCAAGAGGAGCAGCCTGATGGCATACCTCCATCCAGCGCGAGGCTGCACCGACAAACCCAGAGATCTTCCCAGAGAAATAACCCATGGAGGCAGTTAGCACGGCAGCCCCATGACATCATGTCCCCAGAAGGCTTGGTGTCACCAGGGCTGCATCCCTTGCCATTCCCACTGCTCAGCGCCCAGCCCAGTGATGGCCCCAGGTGGGCTTAGTGCTGGCTGCAGGTGGCCACTGTCCTGGGGATGGGGCTGGGAGCGTGTCCCGGCTTCCTGCCCTGCACGGGGGTCTTGGCTTCCAGCTCCTGGCTCCGGAGAGCGAGGCTGAGAGGCCATCCTGGCTCTCAGGAGGACCTATGCTTCAACATTTTCCAAACAAATCACTTGGATTATTTCTAACTGACGTTTTTTGGAGGGCTTTTCCTTCTGCCGGAAGGGAACGATTTGATTTATTTATTTCTCAAAAATTCCCGAGGAAGGGAACTTCTGACTTTGGACAACTGCATGGAAAGCTTCGCCCAGCCATAAGCAGCACCTACACCACCATGTGTGCTGATCCGGGGCGACCTGCAGGAGAACAAACTGCATATCCCCAGCCCCAAAGCACCTGAAGGAGCGTGCCTTGCTGGAGGAGCCAGGCTGCTGAACCTCAGCCCCAGCTCTGTACTGGCCTACCTGCCTATGCTTGGGGTGCCTGTGGTGGGGACAGCCCAGGGATGGCTGCACCGTGGCCCCACTGTGGGCTGGGGTGGGATGCAGAGGGCTGACACCTGCCAGGTCACCTTTTAGGGACCTGGGATGGGGCAGATCTCAGAGGCTGTGAGATTCGGATGGAAAAAAATACATATATTTTCAGCCATTATATTTCACAAAAGGAGCTGTTCGTCTGCTTAGAATGTAGGTGACAAGTACAAAAGGCATTTGGCGTCATAAAGCAGGCCAAATTTTCAGGAGGTCGAAGATATATGGTATGCAATCGAGTCCCAGCTTCAATCTGCTTCTACACTGTAAATTCCAATTACATCATGCTGCCTTGTTTAAATACCGTGAAACCTGGCTCATGCCCGAAGTATGTTTTATATATTGCCACATCCATTTGAAATAGATGGGCAATGTGTTTTACGACACATGTGCAAATATCTCCGTATTTTTCCATCTGGGGGTTTATGAGATCTTTCAGAAAATTAATAATGGGGCTCGGAGGAAATGTTCGACTCGGAGGCAGTAGCAGAGATTTATGGCCATCCCAGTGGATGCCAGGGAAAAGTCTGGGAGCGTCCGCAGCAGACAAAGGCCCGCGGTTTCGCCAGGCGCTCCCCAGAGCTGATTTGGCAGAAGGGACGAGTGCGGGAATTTCCCCATGTGAGCCGGCAGGTTGTTGGCGAGGGGTTTCTCTGCAGGCACTGAGCAAAGATTGGGTCGGGAGGAAGGAATGAGGCCGTGCCTGCAGGCTTTGCGTGAAGGCAGTGGGGTGGGCAGGGGAAAGCACGCAGTCGGGCTCTGTGCACAAGGACCTGCTGCAGAACCCCCGGGCTCCGTGGCGCTGCGTGCTGCCCTGAGACCCCGGATCTCAGCCAGGCAGCTCTCTTTGAGTCTTCCCCAAATCAGCCGTGCTCTGGGAGTGCTGCACCTCCCTGGGTCTCGCTGTGAACAAAAGCGGATCGTTTCCCCTCGTGTGGATCTTCCATGGGGGAAATGCTGGCTGGTGTTTATTTTGATAGCAGAGAGGTCTGTTCTCTGAGCGTTCTGGGTACTGAGTGTTGTCCAAGATGAAAAAATGAGCCGTTTATTTGAGTCCCACATTGGCTGTGTAAATAGAGGACTCACTACAACGGATGCTGGCTGGCGGATCAACGGAGCGGGGCCGATCCTGTGCTGTGACTGCCAGCACCGTGGCTGGGACATGGCACACCCCAGGTAAGCACCTCCCAGCCCTGCATTGTGTGAGCAACGTGTGCCTGAGGATGGACCAGAGCTGAGGCTGCTGCAGGGTTCTGCAGAGGAAGCTCGGGAGGGGTGGGCTGAGCCCATCTCTGAGCCTGTGTCACTGAGCGCTGTGTCACTGAGCGCTGTGTCACTGAGCGCTGTGTCATTGAGCGCTGTGTCACTGAGCGCTGTGTCGCCATGCCCATCACTGAGCCATGTCACTCAGCCCACGTCACCAAACAGTGTGTCACTGGGTCTGTATCACTCAGCCTGTGCCGCCAAGTCCATGTCACCAAGTTCTGTGTTCCTGAGCCCGTGTCACCAAGCACCAGTCTTGCTGCTCAGGTGGGAGCAGTGCTGGCCTGGTCCCACTCCCTGGAGGACACATATCCCTTTGCTTTGTGCCACCACGTCTCCTCTGGGCTGCAGCACACCACACATTGCAGCTGTGCCATAGGGTCAATGCTGTGTAGTAACAGGGTGGGCACCCCATTTTCAGCACCTCACTGAGGGAACTGCAAAGCTGGGGGCTGCCCACCCGGTGCCATCACCTCAGAGCTCCATCCCTGCACAGCCCTGCCTGGGATCGCCTGTTCATTGAGACCACAGGGACCACAGGGACCATGGGGACCATAGGGACTCCTTTTCTGCTTTGCAGCCGCTCACCGTCACTGCTGAGGTGGGAAGCCCCAGCAGGAGGGCCCCGGCGGGCTTCTCCAGATGGTGCCCCGTTGACCTCAGCCGTTCTCCGTCTTCGAGTCTTCCTTAGGAAAACACGTTGTGAGCCAGCCCATCGATTAATGGTTTCCGCATGTTCCCCCCGTGCGGCCGCCGTGGGAAGCTGCCTCCCCAAGCCAGACCTGCTCCCTGCTCCCAGAAGGGGAGTCCCCTTTTGGGGTTTGTTCCCTGTGCCCAGGGTGGGTACACAGCTGCTGGGGACAGTGCATGGGATGCTGGCTGCGCTGCCCAAAATACACCCGGGCAAAGATGAATGAGTGAGTGCACAAACATGTCAGTGGCACGGTGATTAACTCTGATGTAAAAAATGCCCTGAAAGCATGTGAGAACCACAGAACCACAGAATGACTAGGGTTGGAAGGGACCTCAAGGATCACGAATTTCCAACTCCCTGCCACATGCAGGGCCACCAACCTCCACATTTAACAGCAGCCCAGGCTGCCCAGGGCCCCATCCAACCTGGCCTTGACCACCTCCAGGGATGGACGGGGCATCCACAGCCTCTCTGGGCAGCTGTTCCAGCACCTCACCACTCTCATAGCACAGAACTTCCCCCTGACATCCAACCTCAATCTGCCCTCCCTCAACTTAAAAGCATTTCCCCTTGTCCTGCTAGGCGCTTTGGAAAGCTGCGCTTGGGAAACAGGAGGCAGGTGAAGTGCTCAGTGCCCACTGCACTTGTGAGCACTGTGAGCTGCGTGCCCCAGTGCTGGGGGAGCCTGGGCATGCCCGTGAGTGCCCTCCTGGCTCTCAACAAGGGGCTGAGCAGTGCTGCTCAGAAATGGTGATGCTCCGAGCACAGCACTGAGCCATGGGAGCAGGGATGGGAATACGCTGTGCGTGCATCTGTCTGTCCGGCCATCCGCCCGCCTGTCTGCTCAGATCGGGGCTCAGCTGTCAGCACTCGTGTGATCTCTCATGGCTGGAGCTGGCTGGAGAATATGGAAAAAAGAGAATCAAATTTTCTTGTAATATTCTCGTATTTTGCTTCTTTCCTTGGCCAAATTCCGGCTTTCCATGACAAAAAATGTCCATCGGTGTTTTAAAATGAGAAAAATTTCAACCAGCTGCAAAATTCAGTCCCAAAGCAGGGGGAAGCTCACAGACTTGGCCTCTTCCAGAGACAGTTTGCCCCAGCTGACTGCACAACGCCAGGACAAGCCCCGGAGGTCTGCGCAGGGAAGCGATCCCATGAAACACGCCTGGCCGCCTCGCTGATCCCAGTGCAGCACTGCCTCACACCTGGGTGGGAACTGCTCAGTTGGCTGCTTATTACCCCATTTCTTCCCCCAGCACTCTGGCTCTCAAAGCAGCTAAGCCTACTGGAAATTCGGTTTGATTGTGCCTTGTGTTAACTGTGGCTTTGTTTAAATATTGGCGTTATGAACAACAATGAAATAATGACATAAACCATTAATGATCATATAAAAGTAGTACCTAAATAAAATAAACAGCAAGTTACATTGTTAGGGTTCCTGTTCTGCTCGGCTACAGCTCTTGGAGTTGGATCTGGAAGACTCTGCGTGGGGTCGAAGCCTGCTCCAGATCACAAAACAGGGACATGGCTTCTGTGGCACCCATGGGACGCCCGTGGAAACCCATAGGACACGCATGGGAAACCAGTGGGACACCCATAGAAACCCATGGGACACTCAGAGCTGGGCACAGGAACAGCATGAAGCCCTTCGTCTTCCCGGCACCCACAGAGAAAACACGAAATTAGGCAGTCAATACTTATTAGACTCGTGTTATTAAAAATAATAATAATAAAATAATAATAAAAAACAAACGTACATATGTATGTTACACTGTGGTCCGTAACATCTGCTGGCTTTTCTTTGTACATGTTTGACACGGCTTTCATGGGTGCCCCAGGTGGTACATATATTGCACATCTCAGCAGACCAGAAAGCCCAGCAAAGCCCCCCAAACCCACATAGGGCTCCCCAAAATGACCCTGCCAGTCTCTTGGGTTTGCTCCACCTGGTGATACGCTTCACTTCTAAAGCAAATGGGAAGAGGTGACAAAAAGGCATGCAGACATGTGGGAATTACATACACCTCTCAGAGCACCCCCAGCAGTGCTGCTGGGCCCCCAGATGTGGGTCCCTGCCTGCAGCTGGTGCCCAGCTCAGGTTCATGTGATGGCAGCTGTGTGGTGGCGCTGGGTTGCACAGTGCAGGGCCCAGCAGGGTGCATGTGAGGCACTGCTGGGATCACTCGTCCTGGGGGCTGAACAGAGAGCAGGATAAATCCCAAACAGCAGCTGCCGACGCCAAAGTCCTCCCAGAGCTTTAGAGGTGACTTCAGATGAAGAGGAGACAGGTGCCAAAGGAAAACCTGGAGCTTCCCGTCCCGCAGTATGTGTGGAGTGGATTCTGGGGAGCACGGGATCTTCACGTGTGTGCTTGGAGGTTGCATGCTCCTTCTGCAGTCCTGTCCAGGGCAGCATTCATGTTCTGCTGCTCTTCCACAGCTGTGGCTGAGGAGGAGAGGGCCAGGCAGATCCCAGTGCAATGCTGAGCCCATCCCAAGAGGAGTCCCTCCATGCACAGCTGAGGATGCCTCTGCCCAGTTCCAGCATGACAACAGCGGTGTGGCCAGCCAGGGTTGCTGGGTGCAAGCAGCAGCAGGAGTAAGAGGGCTGGGTGTCTGTGTAGTTCAAGGGACATCTTGTGGCAGAGGCTGGTGGCCTGTGACAACCAGAACAGCAGCACTGGGGTCGGGAGAGTCCCTTCAACTCGTCTGGAGCAGGGAAGGAAGCTCTGAGTTGGAAGCATAGCACAGGAACAACTCATCCAAAACCACACAGGCCCAACTCACACTTTGCCCCTCTTCTACTCCAGTTCTTCCAGTGCTCTGCAAGAGCAAAGTGGCATCCGCAGGGCCAGAAGGACAGCACTGCTGGCCCCACGTGCCTCTGAAAAGCAATCATCGCTATCTTCAACAGCTTCTCCAAGTGTGTAGATACTCACTCCCCTTACTCCCCTGACCTGATGCCCCAGGGCTGTGCCATCTCCTCTGCTGCAGACACCCCTGGGATGTGTTGGCTGCTCACCATGTGATGGGCACAGAAGGCCAAAGCATCTTCCTGACACACCAGGAAACAGCAGCACAGGCTGCAGCTCCTTGCTGAGCCTCGCAGCTTTCCTAAACAGGCAAGGTTTATACGGAAAGGAACATCTACTGTCAGATCAGCTATTATTTCCACTCATGTTTATTATGCTGAGACCACTATAACCTCAACATGGAAAGAAACTGATGTCTGTTTGAACTGGAGATTAATACAGTATGAGGAAGACATAAAAGACTGGAGGTTGGTCAGCAAAAGCTCTTCTCTCTTCCTGCCACCTCTGCCTCCACACCTCTGGCATGGCCAAAGTCACAGCAGCACGCAGAGCTGGCACAAGAGAAGAATATGGGTATCTGCAGGTCTTTCCTGTTGGGTCACCTGGGCCGTGCACCTGGACAGGCAGCTCCCTGCTCCCTGCTGAGCGCAGCTCTGTGGGGTGGTGACCAACAACCCTGGCTGTCCCCAAGATTTCCATGGGCCCTGCCCCTGGGCAGCAGCACCAGTCTGTGTAAAGCTGAGGTCCTGCAGGATCGGGTCTGGAGAAAGGTCACTTGGTTCTCCCAGCGAGCTTCTGGGGCTGGTCCTGCAGTGCTGGATGGTCTCCACCCAGCCAGTCCGTGTGTGCACCGGGATGGAGGAAAGTGACCTCCTGTCTCTGCTGCACATGAAAAGGGGGCATGAGAGCTGAGAGCAGCGCATGTGCAGCACGTGAGGGGGAAGCAGACCCTCAGCACACAGCAGAGAGAGCTGCGAGCTCAGACAGCAGCACTGGGCAGAAGGTTTTGCACAAGGGGAAAGAGAGACTAGGACAGAAGGATGAGGAACAGCATGCCCGGAGCAAGAAACCAGCCCCTCAAGCTCCTTTAGGCAACAGGCACCCCCAGGACCCCCTCTGCTTTGCTCCTCATTAAAGGTTTGTCATTACCGCCTTATTTTTAATACACACTGAGAGAAGGAGACCCACACACATACACATCCACGCGTGCACACACACACACACAAAGGGGAACCATTGCCAAAATATACACTATAGACAGAAGAGTCCGTTCACACGATATATATGTACAGAGTCTCTGGGCACAGGCTGGGTGCGCGGCCGGGCCGGGACCTGTGCGGGGCACGAGGCCCTCAGGGCTTCACACACTTCCCTTTCTTCTCCCGCCGCTGCAGTTTCCGAAGGCGGCGAGTCCAGGCATCCCTCCATTGGATGACCAGGCTGTTCTTGTCGGCCATCAGTCCTGGCCGGTCGGTGGAGTTCTCGCTGATCCCCATCACCAGGTACTTCTTGCTGATCTGGATTTTGGGGCATTTGCAGGACAGGTCCTTGAGGTGGATCCACAAGAAGTTGTCTCCACGCTTGACCCGCTCGTCGCGGCACTTGTAGACGGAGAGGATGTTGATGGTGAACTTGGCCCAGTTGGCCACCGTCTCCATTTCCAAAATGTTCACTTGGACCACTGAGGGAAAAGAGGGAGAGGAGGGTGATGGGGATGCTCTGCCAGCTCCTGATGGAACCGCCGTCCCTGGGGATGCAGGGCAGCCTTACCATAATCTTTCTTGCAGTATTTCTTCATGTTAATCTTGTAGTTGCCTTTGGCTGGCTTGCAGTAGGAGTCACAGTCTGCAGAGGAGGAACAGAGGGTTTAGCATGTGGCACAGCACTGTGCATGGGGCCCTGCCCCACTATGGGGGAAGGTGTCATGGTGGGGGCATGTCAGAGTGGGCTTCCCTGTCCCTGCGTCCTCCAGAAGGCTCCAAGCCAGGCCTGGGATGCTGCTAACAGTGGGGTCCCTGAGCCCTGCTATGCCCCCCTATTATCTCAGCAGCTCTTGCAGACTGAAACTGGTCCCACTGCAGCCCCTGAAGTCTCCTTGGGCCTCTCAGGCTGGCCACATCCCCTCCTGTGATGACAGTGACAATGCCATGAAGGATTATTCAGGACACGGCTGGTGGAAGGAGCCTGGGGAACCTCCTCTGGGAGGCAGGAGTGGGTGGAAGAACCCCAAAAGAGCATCTGACTCTAGAGCAAGGGACAGAGTCTGGATTGTGACTCCTTCTGTGGGGCCCTAAAGGGTCTTAGGAACATGGGAAGCTGGCAGGTGAGGTCACTCCCTGCTGCTCAAGCATCTCCTGCTGGCACTGACCAGGCATGGCCAGGGAGGTCACCACGCTGAGCTTCCTGCACACACCCACGCCGGCAGCATCCCGCTTAGTAGCATCCTTCCCTATAGCATCCATCCTTCCCTGCAGCATCCATCCTTCCCTATAGCATCCATCCTTCCCTGCAGCATCCCTCCCTCCTCGCAATATCCCTCCCTGCCATTCCTCCCCATGCTGGGGCAGAAGCTCATGTCCTCAAGGAAGCTTTTCTCTGTGCATTTCTAAAGGCTTCAGATTTGCATCTCAAGCAGAGGGAGGGCAGGCCAGGAATGCCTCTCCTTCTCCCCAAAGGCTTTGATCCCAACAATTGCCTGAAGCAGCCCAGTTCTTCTCCTTTCTTTGCCCCTGCCACCTTCTTTTGAACATCTCAATTTGTCTCTTTCCAAATGGCATGTTCTTCTAAGCCCATCTTTCTTCCTTTCTCTCCCTCTCCCAGGTTCTCTGTCCAGTTGGCAGAGCCCTCACCAGTCCCAGGACAGAGGGCAGCCACTGAGCTGCCTTTGTCTGCAGGTTGCCACAGCGATCGCTGGCGATGGAGGGGGATGGTGGGGAAATAACAGCACTCTGTGCCAAGAGAGAGGAAGGAGAAAGAGGAAAGAAAGAAGCCCAGAAGCACAAACTCATCCTGAGCTCTGCTGCTCCCCTTTCTGCCCAGCTGCCTTTCAGTGAGGACTTTGTGCCGCCTGTTCCAAATTTGTCATCGACAGAAGTGGCTCAGCATGAACCTAATTCCTGGCAGAGTGGGGTGAGCTCTGCTTTTCGGTGCAGCCCCACTGCGCTGCCCCTGGGCTGGGCTGCCATAACCACCCCATTCCTATCCTCGCCGCCATGAGGTTCCTCAGTCCCCAGCGCCACCAAACCACACAGGGACACCACGCAGGGACAGGAGGGACCTTGGAGAGGCAGAAGGGACTGAGGAGCACTGCCAGAGACCAACCCCCCCCGTGGGGCTGAGCCTTTCTGGACCAAAGTGGTTTTTAAGTACCACAAGCTGTAGAGTCATCTGCGGGGGCAGAAAACACGTTTTGTGGATTGGAGTGATTTTTCTCAGAGAAACCAGAACGCTTTCAGGGGAAAAGAGGGGAGGCATCATAAAAGGAAGGAGGAGCAGCGGGAGTGATTAATTGCACTCTTCTTGCAGCTTGACAGGGTGCCCGGCATCCATGTCCCCTCCTGGGAGCTGTGCACAGGGATGGAGCCGTTGGTGGCAGTGGGGACAGAGCCCAGGGGCACGGCACGCTGCGGCTGGCAGTGCGCAGCATCTTCAGAGAGGGCCACGCTTTAGGCTCCTATGAAGCGAAAACCCCGCTGGGGCCGCTTTCAGCTCCTTGCAAATCTGGCCAGATCCAAGCTGCAGTTTCACAAGGACACACAGGACCATATGGGCTCGCGGTCCCCTCCGCTGCTGGAGACGGGGGTTGGGAGCAAAGCCACGGCAGTAGCAGCCAGCGCCGCACAATGCAGGGCCAGGCGGAGAAAGCTGCACGGGGAGCCTCCCGCGTTCAGCCCTGCCACAGCCGGGCCGGGGGGCGGCGATGCGCTGTGGGGCGCTGAGCTGTGGGGCAGCCCTGGTCAACCTGCCAGCCCAGGCCCTCTGCCGGCTCTGTGCTTGGGAACAAAGAAAAGGAAGAAAAGAAGAAAGAAAAACAATAACCGCCCTGGGCTCCCGCTCACGATTAACATCATAAAACTGCGATTCTGAAAAGCCAGAGATGGTATTTGGAATTAACAGTTTGGGATTCGTTTGGGGACTTTTAACCTCACAAAAATAAAAACAATTCCCGCTCCATTTATGTAAGAAACTCAGGGAAAAAAAAAAATAAATGAAGAAGATTCGTGTCTGGCCATGGGCCTCAGTGTGCTGCAGAACTGAGCGTGGGGTGCCAGGCAGAGTCCCAGCCCCACATCCCCACTGGGGCTACGGGATGCCCAGTGCTGGGGGATGGGAGGAGCACAGGGGGGTGGTGAGTTTGCACATCTGGTTGACTTCTATGTGCCTCGAAAAAAAAAAAGAAGGAATATTTTGTTTTAAGAGAGATGTAACTTAATTAGGTGTTACGGCTGCAAATCTTTTACTGCTGACTTTGAATTCCTTTAAAGCCCTCTTTTGCACTCTGCTAGTTTTGTTAATTCCACTAACAGGGAACAAGTTTTGTTTTTTTTTTTTTTTAAACTATGATTATTTTTTTGCAAAGTGGAAAATATTTGGGACTAATAATAATAAAAATTACAAGAAATGGAGGCAGGACGCTTTGCTGTAAAGCTGGTCGGCGTTTGGGCAGGGATCAAAGCCGGACCCCAGCGGCTGCGAGGGGCTGGGGAGCAAAACGTGGGAATGGGATGGCGATGTCAGCGCACAGCCCGGATGCAGACGGGGCTGTGATGTGGTGGTGGGGAAGCACCTGAGCAGCCGCAGCCCTGAACAATGTCCCCCTGTTCCTCCAGGCACACCTGCTGTGGGGCGGAGGGGAGGGGGGCTCTGGGGCTCCAGGGAGGCAGAAGAGGCGCAGGCAGAGGGAGGGGGGTAGGGGCAAGTGCACAGCCCTGGGCGGCCCCTGGCCGTGCCCAGTAATCCTAAGAGGGTCCTGCGGGAGCCCGGTCCCTGGCGCAGGCTGTGGGCAGAGGTGGGCTGTGTTGCACTGAATGTACTGCAACTAGAAGGCAGAAACCTTCCAACAAGAAAGGCACAGGTACAGAGACAGGCTGCTGAACACAGACCTGCTCCGTCAAAGCAAAGTGAATGCCGGGCTCTGCACTGAGTGCCATTTATTTTCATGCACCTGAAAATATCAGACAGGATACTAAGAATGCTCCTATTTATAAAGCACTGGAGGGAGTCACTCTGATTAACTCTGCCCCACGCATCCCTCTCTGTTTATAACAAAATCACTCAAATCCACTCCATTTTCCTCTCACCAAAACCCCTTCTCTGGCATTCTCAGCTCCTGCTTGGATGCCTCATGGCCAGAAAGCAAAGCAAGCTGGAGAGCAGCCTTCACCTCCACTCCCATCACCCTACATGCCCAAACCAGAGCAAGGAAAGACAAGCACTTGCTCCCAGCCCCTGGCCTGCTGCAGAACCCAAAGGCCCTTAATGCACTCCTTGTTCCCCATGAGAATCACTGCCAGCCCTGGTGCTCCCTGTGTCAGCAGCTCTGCAGGTTTGTTGGTCCCTTTGCAGAAACACAAAAGATTTCCACTCTTGTTAATTCTTTCACTAAAGGCAGCCTTGTGGCTGGCGATGTGGGTTTGGAGAGGTTTGGCACTCCTGATAGGTGTGCTGTGGGGCAGAGAGTGGAGGCAGTGTCTCTCAGCAGGGCTGGGGATGGATGCGCAGAGCACTTACCTGCAGGTGCCTCCGTGCTGGTGATGAGAGAGGTCGGATTGATGGCAGGGATCTCTGGAAGAGAAAGGGGGAAATGTCTTAAGGAAAGAGGTCGCCAGCTCTGGGCAGCCCCCATTCCCAGCCCACCATGCACAGCCCTTCCTTTCCAGACAGAGGGGTCTCCCAACCCTGGCTGCTTTACCAAGAACTTCGGGGTCTGACTGAAGCTGGGGGTGGCACACAGACAAGAGCCCTCTGCAGATTGGGTGCAGAGAGGATTTAGTGCGTCACCCCTAGGAAGCTCGCTAAGAAAGACTGGGTGAGCCTGCCCTGAATAACACAGGCCCTTAAATACTCCTGGAGACACTTCATCTGGTGCAGGACTCACTGATGCAGGGGGCCACGGGCGAGCGGCTCTGCTGGAAGCCCTTGGCGCAGCGGTTGCAGGTGAGGCCGGTCACGCCGTCCTTACACGGGCACTGCCCTGTTGTTTGGTTGCAGGTCTTGCCGGCAGCTCCGACTGGGTGGCAGTCACAGGCTGGACAGGAAAGGGAGAAAAGTCCTTGGTTATGTGGGAGGAAATGCATGGCACAAACCCACAGCTTGTCTGTGGCACTTACAGCCAGCCACCCGCTGCCAGTTCCAGGGGACAGTGGGGAGAGCCCATGGGGAAGGTCTCCTGAGCCTCCTCTCCATAGAAGTGAGCCAACGTGGAGTTGGCACACCAACTGAGCCTTGTTTTGATCTGGGATGGCCTGAAGTGTGTCTTCTAGTAGTGATAGGTCAAGGGGGAATGGTCTTCAACTAAAAGAGGAGAGTTAGGTCAGACGCTGGAGAGCAAAGTGAGGCTGTAGCACTGCTGCCCAGAGCTGTGGGTGCCCATCCCTAGAGGTGCAGAAGAGCTGGTGAGGGCAGCCAGCCCATGGCAGGGATAGGGCTGGGGGCTGTGTGGGCCCTTCTAACCCAACCATCTGGGATTCTATGATTCTCAATGATGCCCTGGCTCATAAACCCTAACATCCACCCAATCTCCTGCAAGCCCTTACTGGAGAATGCTGTTCTAATGGCCTTCCATCACAGTCTCCCCAGGAGACAAGCCAAACCTGACCTGAGTGAAAATTTGATTTCCAACCCTGGGATGGATCTGAAGCAGATCATCCTCACACTGGATATACCCATACTGGATGATGGAGCTAATGATCTGGATGATGGAAGCAGGGATGTGGGAGGAAGAAGACAATGCTTTGTCAGGAGAGGACCCTCCTTCTGCTGGCCCAAGTCTGGGCCTGGCTACAAGCTGGAGGAGGTTATCTTGGCCTCCATCGGTGTAAGAGTTGAACGTGATTCCAAAGCAAAACAAAAACATCTCCCCCCACCCATCCCCACAGCCCCCCGATGTTATCACTTCCCTAATTTTCACCAGATGGGACTGCTTGCAGCACCACGGCACGGCTCCCCAGGCTTCTCCTGCACGGCGAGAAACAAGAGCAAGCAGCCTCTAATGGGGACCAGATGCTGCACTCCTTATCAGATCCTGGCTGGGGCTGGAAACGGACGTGTTTCTGACAAGGATATTTTGGGGGCTCAGCTGTGATAACAAATGGCAGAGAGCGAGGGAGCCTTGGCATGACGCGGGGAGCAAGGGGCCTTTCTCCAGCCATAGCTTTGGTTGGGGCCATGAGCACCACCTGCAGCCATTTCTTTGGAGCTGGGGGTAAAGGCCACAGTGTCCCTTCTGTGCGGGGCCGGTGGGCACAGGTACCCTTGAGGAGCTGGCAGGTATGGCTGCTCCTCGAGAGCGGCCAAGGCTTTGTCTCTGCCACCAGGAAGGTTTGAATTGCTGCGTGAGGCTGCACACAGAGCCCCAGCAGGGCTGTGGTGCCAGGTGGGCTCGGCCGCGGGCAATGCACGCAGGCTGTGAGCACAGCGAGGGACAGTCTGTGCCCTGGGAAATTTATGGCAGGAGGCACACGTCCAGCCAAGATTTATGCAAGTGCTCAGCTTCACACATTGTGCATGATCTCCCTGCTCTCAGCGGTGTATTCCCGGTGTAAAGTTTAAGTAGGTCCATAAATCTCAGCTTGGTCTGCATCCAGTTCTTCCAGCCGGATCCTCCTTGCACTGTGAAGAAAGCTTCCAAAGACTCGACACCTTACCTGGAGCAGCAGGTGAGCTGGCTTTGCTCATGCCATGTCCTGCAGAGACAGCTCTGTCCCAGCAGGTTGCTGTGTCTCGCTGTGCCCCTCTCTCCCAGGGCTGACCCCTGTGTGTCCCCACCTCTGTGCCCATTGCCTGCAATGCCTGAGCTCCCGCTGGGTGCTGGGAAGGAGTCCCCACATCGGGGCATAACCCATGGAGCTGTGCTTGCCAGGAAGAATGTCTTGCACCTATTATCGAGAGTAGATGTGCTTTTTGAGGCTTAGCTGCTGCTGCTTCCTCAGTTTCCATTGGAGATAGCTCACGTTTTACGGTTTTGTTTGAATTACAGGGACTAATGCGCAGCCATTCTTTATTTGACTTTCCAATTACCACCGTTGGATTAATCCTGCACACTGTCCTGTGTGTTGCACTCTCCTCCGTGCCTCAGTGCCCTGTGGTGATGCTGGTTGCTGGCTGCTGGTGGCCATTGCTGGGCTCACCTCTGCTCCATCAGGTGCTATGGGAGATGCAGGCTGGTGCAATCCACGGGGAGCATCTTTGTACCCATCTCTGAATCCCAGCAGAGATGAGCCACGCTTGGATTGTTATTTGATAGAACAGTTTGGGTTTCTTTAAATAACTCACACTGTGATAATGCTGGCCTCTGGGCTAGCATTTCAAGTCTTGAATATGAGCTGAGCTTTCTTTCAATATTTTCCTTTGTTAGGCTCCTCTGCTGCCCTGGACCAGCTCTGGAGGAAGATCTTTGCTCACTGCCTGCAGCTCTCCTTGCTCTGCAGTATGCTCTCCAGACCTGCTCTCATGGGCCTCGCCTTTTATTCTCCTTTTTCCCAGCAGAAATGTAGCTATTCAGAGCAGCAGGTGCGTGGCACAGCTTTGGAAAAAACAAGCCCAAACCATCTGATTGCATCTCCATCACCTGGGGCAGGCACACTCTGGAGGGCACGGATGCACACCGATCTGCTCCTGCATATACACGAGGAAAGGGGAAATGCTCTCTGCTCTGCGAGGGAGGGACGGTCAAAGGAACAGAAGCGTGAAGGATTTTATTATTGACTCGGATGCCTGGGACAGAGCCAGGAGCTGGCTCCGCAGATCCAGGCACTGCTCTGCTGCAAGATCCTCTTCAACATATGCCCCGTAGCAGGGGACAGGCTTTGTGCACATGTTCATCTGGCTGGGCTGAGCCTTTGCAGCATTTCAAAACCGCTCGCAAGCACTGCCAGCCTTAGGAAGAGGCACTGTGGCCCTGCGTGGCACAGGGACCTGCAGGAGAGCTCTTCTTGCAGGGGGAGCCTGCTGCAGCACCCTGCTCCTATGCTGCACTGGGGTCAGTGGCTTCACTCACAGGGCTGAGTGCTGAAGTCCCAGAGCAGTGTTGATATCTGAGCCTCTGCCAGAGTTGGAAACACACTGAACCTCTCCTGCAGCTTTGTGCCTGCGTCCAGAAACTCGATGGGCCCTCAGCACCCTCATGCATACCTGCATGTGTCCCCATGGCCGGAGGATGCCCCCACAGCCCCAGGCACCATGGGATGAGTGGGACATTGCCCCAGAGCTCCTGGCACAGGGCAGCACAGTGGGAAGTGCTCACACTAACCCGCACTCAGCTCATGCTCACACCTCGAGGCTGGGCTGTGCTGAGCCTTCCCATCTGCAGCATCTAGCAAAATCCTGTTTCTTGGGTTCTTTATTTTTCATTCTGCTAGCGCTCTTCCCTGGATGGACCAGCACTGGGTGATGGCAGGGTGAGAGGGAATGCAAGGTGGGGGGACTGTGCATGTGTGCCAGATGTGGGGGTAGCAGCCGGACTGGGGTCTTCACTGCAGCTCCATTTTAGGCAGCCCCCTGCCTGCCCTCCAGAGGAAATGACTCAGGGCTTTCCCTGAAACCGCAGGCTGATGAGGCTGCCGCCTGCCCGGCTGCTCCTGCACATGGAGGGCTCTTGCCTGGGGCTGGGGGCACCTCTGGGGATGAGAGGGGGATCAAGCACAGCCCGGGTGCGGGGAAATCCTCATGGAAAAGGTAGAAAAGGCCGCAGTGCTGCACTGCTCTAGCCTGGCTGTGTTGCAGCAGGAGCTGGGGCTGCTGCTGTCCTGCTCTGTCCCATCTCATCTCATCTCACAGCTGCTCAGTCATGCCCTCAGTCCGTGCCACGACCCCACTTCTGGCTGTCTCCAGTCTCAGGAGGCTGGAGAGGCTGTGGGGAGATGCTGCAAGCTGCAGGGAAGGGAGCAGCCTCCCTTTCCTCTGCTTCAGCCTCCTTATGTGCAAAGACATGGAATCTCTTGAACAGTGGGCAAATTAGGGGCCATCCCCAGCAGGGATCCTGGGAGCCTGCCTGGCGCTCCTCAGGATCAAAGCACTACCCGTAATGCGGTGTACAGACCCTCAGGATGTGCTCCTCATCCTGCATCCTCCTCTTCCTCTCCCACTGTCACCCCAAGAACACATGAACACCGCCAATGGGAAACACTCATGTCCTGGGGCTCAGCTGTGGGGCTGCTGTGCCCAAAGCCCGTTTCCCTTTGCTTTGTTCTGCCAAAGCCCCAGATAAAATGAGGGTAGAGAGAAGCCAAGGTGATTCATACAGGGTGGACAACAAAAGGTTTTTAGTTGTGACAACACTGGATGCAGTCTGGACCCAAATGAGCCCATCCTACCCATGCAGCTTACACACCATGGAGCCTTGCAAGCCAAATACTTCAGTTCTACGGCCACAAAGTTGCTGCACAACACCGACATCAGCAGCTGCTGTAGATCCCACATAAACACACAGAAACCTGGCCAAGTGCTCGTCTGCTTTGAGGGCACCAATGGGCTGGGGGGTGGGCAGCATTCCACCGCCACCCCAACACACCTCCAGCACACATGGAAGCAGCTTTCCCTGCTGTCTGTGCAGTACCACTGCCAGAGGGGAAGCCGCACTCCCTTCCGGGAGATACTTGCAATCTCAGCTGGAAAAATGGGATCAGGGGTGAGTTCCTGGCCTTGGAGAAACCATGGCAAAGCTCCCGTCCCCACCAGTGGGGTCAGCACAGCAGCGGCAGTCCAGGGGGATGGTCAAGGTGGCTTTTTGTTATCTGACCACTGGTGGGACCATTGTTTGGAGGCACTGCAAAGGATGGGGGCTGCATGGAGAGGGCTGGTCGGGAGAGATAAGGCAGGGCAGCCCCGGGAGAGGAAAGCCTCAGCTTGGCACAGGCCAGGACCAGTGGGGCCAGGCTGTGCTCCCTGCTTGGAGCCAGAACGGTTCCCAGACGCCTCAGGGCAATGCACCCTGCCCATGGGCAGCACTGCTCAGCACCCCACAGGCGGAGCTGCCCATCAGCAGCACCCATGGCAGCACAGCAGGGAGAAGGGAATCCCTGCCAGCATTGCCCCAGCCCTTCCAGTGTGAGGAAGCACCACAATCCTTTTGTGATGCAGTGTGAAGACTTCCAAGTGTATCTACTGCCAAGACTATATTGGTGTCAGAGCCTAATCCCCAGCAAGCTGCCACAGGCATTCTGCAGCACCTGCACAGCTCCACACCTCCCCAAATCCCAACACTAACGGCTGTGCTTGCAGTTGTGCCAGGGCCAAGGGCCGTTCCTCGTAGGGCAGAGGGGTCTCCCCCAGCCACCTGCTCCCACAGGTCTCCCTCCCCATCCCTTGGGTCTGGGCGCCCACAGACACGCTGGGCCCAAGGCCATTGCCCACTGTTCCCTCGGGGCAGCAGATCGCTCCCGGCTCACCTTTGCAGGCCTTGCGGTCCGTGATGGACTTGCTGAGGTCCCGGTAGAAGCCCTCCTTGCAGTAGTGGCAGTGCCTCCCAGCCGTGTTGTGTCTGCAGTTGAGGCAAACGCCGCCGCTCTTCCTGCCCGACAGCTTGTACAGCTCCATGTTGAAGCGGCAGCGCCGAGCGTGCAGGTTGCAGTTGCAGGCTGGAAGGGAATAGAGTGTCAGCAGAGGCAGCTCAACATCACCGTGAGCACCAATTGCTGGGGTCAGACACAGCACTCCCTGTGCTCCACGGTCCCCAGCACGGTGGTCATGCCCTCTCCATCCACACAAACGTGCAGGCACGGCTTTTACTGCATGGAGTCCTAAAAGCTGAGGCTGGTGGTCCGCTGGGATTCTGCCACACCAGCGCTGCCTGAGCAGGGAAACAGGAGGGGTAAACCCACGCCAGGTGCACAGCATGGACCCCACAGAAGGGCTCCGGATGCAGGGTCAGGAAGGAGGAGAACATGGCTGGAAGTGGTGGCGCAGCCAGCCCCGGTGTGTCATCCAGATGTGTAGCATCTGCCTCTTAAAGGGGCCAGGGCTGGAAGTTGGGCACTTGTGGGCATGGAGCATGGGGCTGCTCAGCCAAAGGCAGAGCACTGGGTTGCAGTTGGGCAGGGAGTCCATTAGTGCTGGCCAGGCTGTGCCAGCTAGGCACCTGCAACCTGCTGCCCCACAGCCTCAGCACCAGCAGCACAGCCCCCAAACTGCTGTTAGTTGAAGCTCTGCTCTGCACACACACACACAGAAGCCCACAGTGACACACGCATGCACAGACATGCAGAAGTATGTGTGCACTCTCACACGCGCTTACATGTGTGCCTGTGCAGTCACAAGCATGTGCACAAGCATGCATGTTCATATCTGCACACCGGTGCGCGTGCTCACACATATGCACACGTACACACAGAGCTGCATGCACGTGTCCCCACACATGTGCACACTGATGCAAACACACACACTATTCCTTTCCTTAGCCACAGGAACTGAGAAGACCCCCCCGCCCGATTCCACGTGTGTGAGATAAAAAGGAAAAGCAGTGCCAGTTCCTGTTTAACACTCTCGCAAAAAGATAATGGGAACAAGATTTCCTTTGGCAAAACACAGCGCCCGCCCCCAGCCCCCTCCCTGCGCTGGTAAATTGAGGCTGGGTGAGAGTTTTTCCAGGCGTACTGTGAAATTCATTAACATGTCAGCCCAGATTTAACTGCTGGGCCTGCTTGTCGTTTGTGTGAAGTTTCCCCCGCTCACCCCCCCGGGTCGCCCAGGAGCACATTGGGAGCCTCAGCCTGCGCAGATCAAACGGTCCTGGCATCATGCGGGGAGAGCAGCAGCACACCCTGAACCCAGCCTGCACAACCCCTGAGCCCAGCCTGCTTCCAACTCCCATGCACCCCACCTTGGCTCCCTCACATTATGAGACTGGTGTAAGAATCCCAGGGCAGGCACAACACCGACACTCCATTGGGCAGTGGGTGCATCCTGGGGTCTGTTCCTTCTGAGCTCACTTTTTACTGGTGGTGGCGGGATGAATTCTCATGCTTGGCTGGACAGTGGGACACAGTGCCTGAAGGAAGAGCAGCACATTTTGATGGGTGGTGGTGATGCAGCTGCTTGGCAGCGATGGTGTTGGAAGAGTGGGGACGGTGCTGGCATGGTGGGAATGGTGCTGGGACGTTGGGGGTGGTGCTGGTGTGATGGGGATGTTGGTCCAATTGTTACCCGCTCAGGAGTTAGGAGATTCAGAAAGCAAGCATCCGATTCTGCACAGAATTAAACAAAGACCTTCCTGTGGGTTCCAACTCAGTGTGCTTGTTGACTTGGTGCACCAGGCATGGACCAGATCCCAACTGGGATAACAGTGATGCAGTGGGCACAGTGGGGATGTGGTGCAGCAGGGATGCAGCTGCTCTGCCAGGCTCTGCGCAGGGCCAGCACCAGAGCACAGGATGCTGCTCTGTCCCCAGGCTGAGAACAAGCTGGCTTGTGTTGCTGAGCAGAGGCACCTGCAGGGAAATAATTCTGGGGGCGAAGGGACCCTTTTTTTTGCCTTGCTCACCCAGCAGGAGAAATCCTGGGCCCCTGCAAGCTCCTGCATCCTCTGGGAAGCAGAAGGGACACGGGGCAGTGGAGGAGGAAGGTCAGGTAAATGATTCACCACGGCCATCACAGGTCTCTCTCTGCCCCAGTTTAATTGGTGATGGAATAACTGGCCCTGCCTTTCTGTGGCATTGAAGCAGGGCCAGGGGCTGGCTCACTGCCCTGCTGCTGTGTGGCACGTCCCCACCAGCCCCAGGGCCACCCCTGCACGGCCACAGCACTGTCCCAGCACAGAGCGATGCTGGCCATCGCGGGGACCTCGGTGTGAGCATGTGGCCAGGCTTGGCCATGCTGGGATGGGGACAGGGTCACAGTGTGGCACATGAGCTCCTGGGCATGCAGTGCTAATCGGAGCGGACGGTCCCCCTCACACTGTGCTAAATGCTTGTGCTGTTCTCAGAGCCGACTTGGTTGCAAGCTCTGTCTGTCTCCTGTTAATCACTAATTAAAGGCTTGAATGCTCCCTGCTGTTTGGGGTATTAATAAGAATTTAATTGCACAGTTTGGGGCTAATTACGTGGTGGTTTGCTTCTGCCCTTGTACAGTATGCCCAATTAAACAATCATATGATCAATTAAACAATCACAAGATCTAATAATTTGCAATAATAGACTAATTAAACGTCAACACCTTGAAATGGGGCCGCCTTCTGTCCCCCTTTTGAAGGCTTTGAACCCCCCGCCTGGACTCTGGCTACCCCCATACCTCCTCCCCTCCAGCTCCCCACGGGTCAGCAGCGAGGTGACGGTGGGAGGGGTGCAGGGCTGGGGACCCCCTATGGGGACACGGGACGGGCAGCATCGTGCGTGGGGAGCACACGTGCAGTAGATGCCGGTGCCAGCAGGACGTGAGGGGGTTCGCCGCCCCCACGAGCTCCCTGGGAGTGATTAGTTAACGGAGCTGGCTCAGCGAAACCCTAGACCGGCTGCCGCTGCCAACCCGCAGCGGATCCGAGCTACGCCCCTGCTTTGGCTGGAGGGGAGCCCAGCCGGGAGGCGAGGCGGGACGGCTGCACCTCAGCCCCGGAGAGGAGCGGGGCAGGAGAGCCCCTGTGCCCAGCGCCGACATGTGGGCCGTTCCCCGCCTCTGCGGGACGGCGGTGGGGACAGGGACCCAGGCACAGCCGGGATGGCGCTGCCGCACAGCAGCCCAGCTCGCCTCCTGGCTGCCAGGGTGGCGTGAGGCTGAGCCACCGCAGCCCACCCCGGGAGCAGGGCTCGGGACTCGCAGCTGAGCTCTAATGCCCTCTGTTGCAGGCGGACCCCCGGCCCCGGCTCTCCCATTGCCCCACAGCCGCTGGGGAGGGAGGATGCTGGCGGGGGGAGGGCGTCTGCTGCCCTGCTCACCGCCTCCCAGAGCCACCTCCTGCCTGGCACCAGCGTAAAGGAGGCCAGGTCAGCTCAACGGGCTTAAAAAGGGGATTTCTGAAGGAATTCTGCATCGGGAGCACTGAGATAAGAACAAGAAAAAGCACACAAGAAGGGGACAGAGGGGACGAACGAAAGAGAGGGGAGCCTGCAAAACCCATCAGCGCTCCTCCGCGCACCGGCATCCCGGACTGATGCCCTCAGTTCCTGGCTGCTCCTCTGCCCGGTGCGGGGGAAGAGCAGTTCCACCGGGAGCACGCAGAGCCCGGATCAAAGCGAGCCCCGAGCGCTATCCGTGGGCTCCGCAGGTTCTGCTCTGGGAGCAGGGTCTCCCCTTTGTGCCGCGGGCAGAAAGGCACTCCAGCCGCGGCGGCGACAATGGGAACAAGAGCTCCAGCATTACCAGCGAGTGGATCAATTACTTCCAGTGGCTGCTTTGCACTAATCCGCTCCCCCCTGCCTTGGGGACAGCCTCCCGACTGGGGCACCGGGCTCTGGGTGGCAGCTCCGCGGGAACAGCAGCAGGGACGGAGGGCAGGGCAGGGCAGGACTCCAGAACAGCACTAACGCGTCCCTCAGGGGGCTGGGGAGACTCGTGACCCTGCCCACACCTCTGAGCTGCGGGGATTTCCCCTCCTTGAGCCCATCCCGGAGGTTGGGAGGGCCCGGCTGTGCCCGGGGGACACCGGCACTGCTCTGCAGGCAGCCCAGTGGGCACGGGGCCACGCACCCTGCAGCATGGAGCTGGCCTTGCCCTCGTGCCAAGCTGGCAGTGTGGCAAAGCCACTGTTGTCCCCAAAACCTGACCTGTGAACAACACTCAGCTATGCAGAGTGGCAGCGTCTGCTCTCTAAAGACACCACAGCAACTCCTCGATGCACACATCACACATCACACATCAGCCTTTCTGCTGAAAGACACGCATCTCTGCTGTTCTCACCTCTGCTCTCCTTAGCACCACAGAGAAGCAGAAATTCTTGTGACAAGAGAGGAGCAGAACCCATGGGAAGCTGTAGAAACAGCACCCATCTGCCCAGACCTCCATCCTCCTCCACACGCCATGGGCCAGCTCAGCTGCTGCACAAACTCCCAGGAAAATGGGGACGGATGCACCAGCTTTGTTTTTTGACCCAGATGCACACTTGGCCGTGCCTGTACTTCACTTCCTGAGGGGCAGGACTTCCCCTCATCCCCTATCCAGAGCTGCTCACACAGCTGGGTGAGGCCACAGCCATACGGGCAGCACCAGGGAGCACAGGGCAGAAACTGCACCAGCCCCTCGACTCCATCCCCAGCTGCACACATGGGGATGCAGAACACTCAGGGGCACTCGGACCGCCTTCCTCCTCCTCCTCCTCCACCACGGGGCAGCACAGGGCTGGGGCGTGGGACGGAGTCGGAAACCCCACAGCCTGGGCTGAGCAAAGGGAACTTCCCGGGCGGCCTCTCCTTTTAATTGGTGCTAATTGCTGCGTCTGTTCGTGCTGGCTGGGGAGATGTCATTGTTGAAAGGCACAGAGGGGAAGGCTCGGGGAGCTAATCCAGCTTTCAGCCGCTAAGCCCTTCGGAGGCGTGTGATGGAGGAGCTCTTTCAGGTCCCTTCAGAGAAGGCACAAAGCCCGAGAGGGAAAAGGGAGAAAGAAGGGGATCGAATCAACAGGAAAAACCACTTTCACACGCAGCTTGGCTAAGGGCCTTTGTGTGCAGGGTTTGTCAGGGTGTCTTGAAGGGACCGCTCCGTGCCCCCGCCTCCTCCCCACTCTTCTTTTCTCTCCCTCGTTTATCTTTTCAGCCTCATCTGCCAAAAGGGACCCGGCTGGGGGGAGGCCCTTCGGTCTCCTCTTGGGTCACCCGTCCCGTAGGGCAGAGCAAAGGGCACAGCGCAGCACGGGGCGGAGGGGCTGCTGGGTCGGGGTTCTCCCTTTGGTCCACCTCCAAATTTTGCTCCAAAATGTGGTGTTTTGGGGGGAAACATCATGGCTAACCCACTCCCATGGGGTGCGAGGTGCTTTGCAGAATGGCTCAGGCTGTCCCTTTGGACCAGAGAACTTTTTTAGCTTTTTTAGCCTTTTTTTTCTTTTTTTTTCCCCCAGAAGAAATCCTGCCTAACAAACATACATTGAAGCCGGCAGCTGGGATCTCAACAAGTCATCGATCACGAACACTAACAGGTCCCCTGACCTCTGGCACATCCAGCGAGCCATTCGGGGCCTGATTGATGGTGTGGTTCCCCTTGTCCCCATCCTGCTGCCCCCTGGGACAGGGTGGGGGTCCAGGAAGGGCAGGAGCCGGTTCCTCCCTCTCCCAGGGCTTTGTGGGGCTCTGGCATCCCCCATGCTGCATGGACAAAAGGCAAAAGCCGCACAGAAACCCCAAAGAAACAGACATGAGAGCGGGGCAGGCGAGCAACGCGATATTGATATTTGTGAAAACTTTCCTTCAGGTTACAACACCTTTAATCTGCATAAAGCTGTATAAGGAGAGATGAGCCAAACACACAATACACAGCGCCATGCCAGACTGACTGAATGATGACATGCTGAAATGGCAAAGCTCGGACATTCCCTTAAACCCTGCTAGGTTTTCACTGCCCGTACCAAACCCGGTGCCCATCTCTGCGTTATCCCAAGGACAAGCACTCCCCTCATGTGCTGATGTCCCAGAACACACCCTTGTGCCTTCAGGGGGGCTGAGTGCTCACGGCCAAGCTAACACATCCTCTGGGTCGCAGGCAGCAGAGGCTCACGCCTTTCCCCATTGCACCCAGGGCTCGGCCCCGTGTCCCCTCCCCCTACCCACGCCCCCCGGGCAGCACAGTGGGCACTTACCCAGGCACTCGTTGGCCTCGCGGGCGCTGGCCCGCTGCCACGGCCGGTCGTAGTGGAAGGGCTTGCAGCGGTCGCACTCGGGCCCCTCGGTGTTGTGCTTGCAGTCGCACACCAGCTTCTGCTCCTTGTCCTTGACGCAGCGCGAGGCGTGCCCGTTGCACTTGCAGCGCCCGCCGACCTGCAGCTCGCCCACCGAGTAGTAATAGGGGGTGGCCCCGGCCCCCCCGTCCTCCTCGCCAGCCTCGCGGCCCCCCAACTCGCGGAAGAGGTGGGGACGGCTGAACACCACCCGGATGTCGGTGGCCGTCACCCAGTCCTGCAGCACAGGGCTGCTGTCAAAGTCCTGGGCCGAGGGCCGCCCGTCGAGCGTGCTGAAGGCGATGAGGCCGCCGGTGAGCGGGTAGAGGTCGGTGAGGCCGTCGGTGCACAGGGCCTCCTGCTCGTTCTGCTTGGTGACGGTGGCCTTGCTGGGCTTGCCGTAGATCTTGCGGCACTGCGAGGAGTAGTACTGGTAGGGCACCCACGTCTTGCCATAGTCCATGGACTTGAAGATGGCGGTGGACTCCGGCCGGGGCGAGCAGAACTGGAGGCTGACGTAGACCACCTCAAACTTCTTGCCGAGGGAGAGGGTGAGGGTGACGTTATGGGGGAGGTGGTGCAGGGTCTCGGAGCGCCAGCACGTCATGTTGGCGGCCGTGTTGAGGTCGGTCAGGTAGGCGGGTGGGTGGGCTCGGCGGGGGTCCGAGGCATCGCAGTGCCGAGTCGGGGGCTTCCCACAGGTGCTGGAAGCCTGCACCTCCTTCCCGAAGGCAGCGTTGACAAACTCGGGGATGCAGCGACGGGGAGCCCCACTCTCATCATAGCAGGGATCTGGGGGTGTCTGCTGAGCCACGAAGGGGTTTGCAGTCTGTGCCAGGCGCAGCACGCTGGTGGTGAGCAGCAGGCGCAGGAGCTGTGGGGCCTCCATCCTCCCTGGGATGAGAGCACAGAGTGAGGGATGGCACCCATAGCATAGCACAGCCCCTGCAGGGGGCACAAGGTGCAGGGATGAGCTCAAAACCAGGGCATTGGGCTGCAAATGTCCTCCCACACCATGCCCTGCTACAGCATCATCTCAGGATGCCCTACTAACAGCACTGGAAGGAGGAAGTCAGAAGCAGCCCCTTCCTGCACAAATGCCCCGCAGGTTTCAGGCAGGATGGGGACATTCACACCCATGGATATCATAGGGCTTTCATGCATTGAGGTGATGCCCCCGAGCTGAAACTCCCTACAGCGAGAGCATGGGGATGGGACTCAGCCCCCCAGCGCTGTCACAGCTTGCTGGGGTCAGCACCCCATTTCCCTCTGCCTCCCTGTGAGGTGGACCATCACACATTTCCCTTGTTGCTGACCCTGAGGTGGTTACAAGCCAGTGGCCAACCTCCCTGAAAACCCCACTGCCACACAGCCACAGCATTCCCACTGCCAGGAGCTCCTTCTGGCCTTGCTCCCCCAGTGGAGTAGGAAGCCCACCACCCCTGTGCCCCCAGCACAGCGCTGCAGGATGGCTGGGGCTGTGCTGCACTCCCAGGAATAAAGTGTTGATCTTCAGCCCCTGTGCTGCTCCCAGCAGCACGCTCCTGCTGCTGGGGACAGCCCTGTTTCTATTGCTCTGTGTTATTTTCCTTTTGCTTGTGGAAAGGAGCTCACCCTGGCCAGGCTGCCAAACCACTAATGGGGGAAGCTCCTCCCTGCCCGGCCAGGCCCAGCTCTGCAGCCCCTGAGCCAGCAGCAGGCAGCGGGGAGGGCAACAGCAGCTGCTGCCCAGGGAGTTCCCCACTGCGGATGGGCCCTTCCCTCTGCTCCACCACCACGAATGGAAGAGGAGTGTCTGCAGCCAACTTGGTGGCTTGCATTGCCCAGCAGCACATCCTCTGCTACTTGCAGAGCCTCTTGGGGACAGCCCTGTGCGTGGACAAGTGGCTAGGCACTCAGTAAGCAGCACCAGGAATCTCTTGTGCCACGAGCACAGCGAGTGGGTGGCACTGCTAGAGCAGGAGTGGGCATGGGGACAACCTTAGAGAAGAGAGCATTGCCCAGGGCCATGCCCAGCAGCAGGGCCTGTGGGCAGCAGGCGTGGAGCTGTCACTGCAGAGCAGGAAACACTGTGCCACTCTGCTAGCACTGCTGCATAAAAGCTGGCATAGGCTGGAGCTACAGGAGATGTGCCTCACCCCAAAATCTATTCTTCCTGGGCAGACTGTGATGGAAACACATTGGGATGCAACTATTCTGACCCTAAGCCATCCATCTGCTTCTGTGCACGTGGCATCCCTGCTGCTTGCAGGACACCTGCAGTGAGCAGGGGAACATCACCCAGGGAGCAGGAACATGAGGACTTGTACTCAACGGAGCCCTGCCTATGCCCCACCACCTTCAGCCAGCTCTGCACCATGTGCTGCACCACACAAAGCAGGAGAGCACCTGTGTGTTCCTGGGCTACAACAAATTTTTCTCCATCAGGATCTTTTCTGGTCTTTCCAAACCATTTTTTTCCTGATCTTCCCCTGCAAACTTAGCAGCTTTGTGCTGGCAGCAAGCTGCTGGGGGCTCCCCAAGAGCTGCACTGCAGCTAAGCCACGTTCCAGGCCCCCTGGTGCAGTTCAGTCTTTTTGCTTGCTCCCTGCACATTCACCCCATGCCTGCCAAGGAGATGAGGCTCATGCTGTGCACAGGGGGAGCTGCCCAGGTTGCTCTGACCATCACCTGCCCTACGTGCTGAGCTCTGCTCCCCATATCTGCCTGGTGCATGCTAGTGAGATGCCCTGCACAGAGCCTAGAACATCCCCATCCTTCCCACGAGCTTCCAGCTCTCCTATCGCTCACATCTCCCGTGAGCAGGGAACTCCCATTCCTGCCCCAGGGAAGGAACGGATGGGGCGCAGCCACCAGCCTGACCCCCAGCCCTACGTGTCACAAGGGGACATCTCCGAAAGGACGGATAACCAGTGGGATGACGCCTCGGCAGAGGCCTTCCTGCCCTACTCTGTGCTCTGGTGCCCGAATTTTTGGGGCTGTGCTGAGGAGCAGCCGTGGAGGAGCTGGGCCCCGGCGCTTCCGAGCGGCATGTCGGCACTGCAGAGGCACCGTGTGAATGGAAATCATTATCATCTGCCAGACCACACACATGCACACACGCTCCGTGTGCAGCTCACCCCATTATCCCACTGAAAGGGAGCCGGGGCCGGTGGTCTCCACGGGTCTCACCTCTGCATCGGAGAGGAGGGCAGCTGCAATCTGCTCCCTTTTATGCATATTCAGCGTGACCCCCGGGCTGTCGGCAAGCTGCCAGGGAGGCCCGGCAGTGGGTATTTCTCTCCTAGCTCCACCTGCCCCCCTTCTACTTCCCTCTTTGGTGCCCTTGCTTCAAACCTAAGGGAGACTCTGCCAGCTGAGTGCTGGAGAAGGCATCCAAGGAGCAATGCTGACCCTGCATCAAGATGGATTTGGCCCTCCATGGCCCCCAGGCGAGGTTCCCTCATGCCTTCCAGCCGGGTGAGGACACGATGCCAGCCACAGCAGGAGCGTGGCACAGGCTTTGCCCTCCCCGAGGCCGCAGCCTCTATCCCAGCTGCTGCCGTGGCCACGCTCCTCCCCAGTGGCGGTTGCATTTTTGAGGTGGGTGATTTCCTCACTCCTCTGGTTGGGGAATGCTAACAGCTATGCGGTTTGGAAGAAAGTCCCCATGCCTTCACACTCGGAAGTGCTTTGCACTTTAAAAATTAGCTGCTATGCATGGCATCTCCACAACCCTGAGCCCCAGAGCAGCACTGCCAGGGGCACCCATGGTTCTGCACCGCCTGCAGACGTGCCGGGGTCTCACTGGGACGATGCAGACACCCCATCCTCCCCCCGTAGGCACCGTGCTGCAGGTGTGCTGGGTTTGGATGCCGAACACAGCTCCTAGTGCTGGCTGGGTGCTCATCGGCCTCAGTGCAAAGTCTGGATGCACGAAGGCAGGTGCAGCAGGTGAGCGGCACGGGAAGAACACACTTCCCAGCGCTGACCCCCGTGCCTGCAGCAGGTCCAGGGTCACTGGGGAGCAGAGCGAGGCCGCGGCAGCTTTGCAGAGGTAATTATAGGATTAAGTGGAACAACATGGGGAGGGGAGGGAAGGCGGTTATTAGCCAGATTTGATCCCAGGACCTTTGCGGCGCTGGAGCAGCCTTCTCCAATTAAAGCAGCGGGGAAGCCGCGAGCAGCCTGAGCGATGGCCACACCACGCGCCGCAGCCCAGCCACCGCAGCAGCGCTCCAGGGTGCAATGGAGGCCCGAGTCGTGCACTGGCAGATGCCGTTTAGCACATGGCCAACAACGGCCAAGCTGGGTAATGAGCCCACAAAGGGCAGGGAAGCACAGGGGCTCACCCAGCCCTATCCCCTCAGCCCTGTGCTTGGGCAGAGGGTGTCTGGTCCCCGCTGAGTGTGGGCAGAGATGCAGGGTGCTGGACCCACAGGGCTCCATGCAGCATGGCACAGTGAGGGGTGGAAGCATCCAACAGGGCACGGGGGACCTGAGCAGACGAGGGGCTCCGCCCCACAGCCACATGTGCTGCAGGAGAGACCCACGGGGCATCTGCCCAATTCCACGAGCTGGGAGGCCGTGAAGCCTCTCTTTATGTGCCTGCCAGTGCCAGCTGGGGGCTTCGGGCCTCCAGCAAGAGGCATGCACCAGGACCAAAATCGGGCTCTGGACACGGATTAATCATTCCATGTATCGTTAGGACAAAAACACAACGGAGAAATATTTAAAAGGAAAGGAAAAACCCCATGCACTGGGAGCAGACTTGGTTTTCGGGCAGGAAGGGGCGAGGCAGAGATGAGCATGCCACAGCGGGGCTGCGGGCACCAGGGACAGGCTGAGGCTGTGGGCACTGGAGCAGCCACCCACCAGGACGAGGCTGTGGCTCCCGCGCAGCACAGTCCTGGCCGAGCTCCCTCTTCCCCCCTCCTTTCTGATTTCAGAGGGCCGTCAGTGCGTACAGACCCACAACCACTCCCCTATTGCAGAGCTGCTCACTCCTTGCAGCCCCTCAGGCTTCCAGCCCGTGCCCCACGCTGTGCACATGGCTCATGTGGGCGACGCAAGGCAGTGCGCTCCTGCAGCAGGCGCTGGGCGACAGCTATTGCAATGCTCTCTGGCAGGCTGGAGGCAGCATTACACAAGCCATACGGTACCCCAGCAGTGCCAAGAGACGCATACATATTACCCCGCACGCAGGAAAGGATGGTCCAGATTCTGACCTCAGCCCCTCTGGCATCAGACAGAAGCAGCTCCATTCAGACCAGGCCAAGCAAGACGTAAGCGACTCCATTCAAATTTACACTGGCATACCTGTGGTCAGCATCTGGCCTGGCTTGAATTAGCTTCAGTCTGACGTTACAAAAGGGAGGAACGGTGCCCAGATTTCCTAGGTTATCGAAAACAACAAAAAAAAAAAGGAGTCCACCCAAACCACCCCAAGGCCGCGCAGACATGTGCACGGAGGTGTCAAAGACGTTCGGATGCATCACCCACTTTGGGAGCTTTCGGTGAGCTGCCCCCAGGGAGGACGTGCTGGGGCTGTGCGGTGCCCCGTTTAGCTCTGAGCAGAGCCTGTCCCCTCGCTGGAGTGAGGCTCATGGCACAGTGGGGCTGAGCCCACTTCCCCGTGACACTGAACTCACCGCAGAGCGGGGCGAGCACTTCCCACCAGCTGCAGATCTCCTCACCCGATAACAGCAGCCCACCGAGCCCCGGCCTTGTGGGAGCAGAGAGCACAGCCGCCTCCATGCTGCCGTGTTGGTTCATCTCTGCGACCACTCGACTCGCTCTGTCACACACTGGGGACCCTCCCATCACTCCCCATGGCGCTCGGCCCCATCGCAGAGCCCTCACGGCTCCTGCCCTTTCCACTCCATCTGGGAATAAAGCGATCTGGTTTCCATAACGGCCCTTGTTGCCTTTTCACAACATGCCGGGCACAGATGTTGAAAATAGTCTGGATGAATATTTAAAATGGTATTCAGAGATGAGAACATTTGGCCAGCTTTGAAAGATCTCTCACATCGGGTACGGGATGGCTCACGACAACGGGGCCGGAAGCGCTCTGCACTCTGACATCTCGTCCTCTCTCTCCCTGGCTATGGGTACCACGTTTCATGCCCCTGGTGTCACACTGCCTGTTACTGACCGCCAGCCAAGTCTGCAGCATTTGGAAGAGGCTGTCACGTACGTTTTTAACATCACGGGGCAAAGTGGAATATGGAAAATCTGTCGCATTTCCATACTGAGCCTAAGTGTCCTGCGCAGGCTCAGGCAGGGACTGGTGGGGGCACAGAATAATTGCTTCCTTATGGAGCAGGGCCCAGGTGGGAGGTGGGGGAACAGGAGGCAGAGGTGCTGCTTCCCTGGAGAGGGCAGATGGAGGCAGCCCCATTGGGAACACATGTCCAGGGCCTGCACTGCCACTCGCCTACCCCAGGGCCCTTGCCCAGCTCTGCACTTCCCCCAGTTGCTGCTCAAGGAAGCCCCTCAGCACGCCATGCCGAAAGCCCTTGGCTGCCAGCACCCCTCCACCTGGGCTCCTCGGCAGCTTGCATTCTGCAAGGCTCCTTGGTGGAAGCTGTATCCCCACAGACAAGATCCTTCTCTCCAGGCTCACTCTCGTTCCTGCCGAAGCCAGCATGGCACTTGCCATCGATACGGACCTGATGCCTTCCTGCTGCACACCACACCTCACCGGGAGGTGAGGATCCCACGGAACAGCACATCCAGTGCTGGAACAGCAGGACCTTCACCGGGCAGTCAGAAAAGCACAGCAGCTCCCTCTGTTTTATAACGGGAATACTGCAGAAAGGGAAGGTGCCACCATCCATCACAACGCCTCGAAGCGGGTGTCTGCAGCATGGCTCAGGCCCCGTCTCTGGGAGCTGCGGTCCCTCCTCGCCTTGGGAGTGGGCAGCAGTGGATTAAATGAGGGAAGGAGGACCTGTGTCACTCCCGGCTATTGAGGGCTGCACACCGCAGGATTCCCTCAGCACCACTGTGGGTCCCTCACAGGCAGCACTGCCAGAGGTGGGGATGCTCAGCCTAGCTCCCATCTCACCTCCTGCCCGCATGCATCTGAGCTCACACCAGAGCTGAATGCACACACAGGTGCTGCCCGGCAGGACCCGCACTGCTCTATCCTCAGCCTCCCTCACCTCCCTGCTCACAGCATGGTGAGAGCCAGGCCGCGTGAGAGGCTGCTGAGCACAACATCCTCAGCGCAGCAGCCAGTCCTTATCCCAGCAAAGGTATTTCCATCCACCCACCCACTCTCCAACGGCACGGGAAAGCTGTGGGAGGGACGGCGTTTCGAAAAAATGAGGGTTCAGCAGCAGCTCTGGGACAGAAAGGCGAAAGGAAAACCACCGAACACAGCCGGGCTTCCCTTCTCCCCGCCTCACCCCCCGCTCACACACGGCGCTGTGCAGGGGCAGCTCTTCCCCCAACTGCAGTGTAGGGCCAAGGCATGGTGGGGGTGGGAGGGAGGGGATCCGGGGGTTCTCCAGCAGCCCGAACGCGCCGCAGCTGAGAGCAGCTCGCGGGAGCCTTTCCCGAGGGGAACCCCCCCTTCACCGTGCAGGATGACGGTCCCCGACCCTGGCAGAGCCGCACCGCCGAGGTGCCAGCGCTCGCTGCCCGCAGCAACCGGGCACTGCTTCCGCATTGGGGGTCGGGTCTGCGGTCCCTCCCGGCAGCGCGGGGGCAGCGAGGCCGCGGAGCTTCGCGCAGCTCCGGGCACTCCCTTCCCCCCTCCGCAGGGCCGAGCCGGGCCGGGACAAAGCGCGGAGCGACGGAGCTCCGTGCCGGGGGTTCGGCCGTGCCCGTGGGGGCACAGAGGGGGAAAGTCCCGTTTTTCGGCGAGACCGGAGAGAAAGGATGAAACGGGAGGGGAGGGAGGGGGAAGGGCGGGTGGGGGAGAAAGGGGAGGAATAAAAGGCAGCGAGGGAGGGAGCGGTGGGAAGGGACGCGGGGTGCAGCTTCCCGCGCCGGGAAGTTGGAGGAGCAGCTTACCGCGGCCAGGCAGGTAGCGGGCTCGGTCCGCCGGAGGGTCCGGGGCCGCGGCGGCGAGAGGAGCCGGGGCCGCCACAGCAGCGCGGGCGGCAGTGCGGGGCCGCTCCCCTTCCCTTGGCTGATGGCAACAGGAAAAAAGAAAAAAAAAAAAAAAAAAAAAAGGAGAAAAAAAAAAAAAAGGAGAAAAAGAGAAAGAAAGAAAGAAAAAAAGAGCAATAATAATAATTTTCCAGGAAATAATAATAATAAAAAAAACTAGAGCGAAAGCGAAATAAGGCGAAATAGAGCGAAGCGGGAGCGCTGCTCCGGCGCTGCGGGCGGGTCCACAGCGCTGTGCCCGCAGCCGGCAGAGCTCCCGCCAGATCCACCGCACTGCCCGTGGCTGCTCGTGGGGCGGCGGGGAAGGAGCGAAGGAGAAAAGGAGAGGAAAAGGAAAAAATAATAAATTAGGGGGAAAAAAAAGATCCACACACACACAAAAAAAATTACAAAAGCCAAGAAGCGGAGAACCCGAGTCCCGGTCGCTGCCTGGAAGCGGAGTAAAAAGGCTCCAATAAATCCCGGGTTGAAAAGAAGGGAAAAGTCACCTCCCCGAGGAAATCAGAAGCAGATTTCGAGCCATTTAATCACATGCAGGGAGGTGTGTGTGCGTGTGTGCGCCGCCCGCCGCGCCGCTGCCAGCCCTGCCTCCGCCCTCCCGCCGCCGCGGCCGCCCCGCCGGGAGCGCAGCGGGCCGGGAAGGGGCCGGCCGGGGGCTGGGAGCGGAACGCAGCGGGCCGGGAGGAGAAGGGAAGGAGGGGAAGAGAAGCAAAGGGCCGCCCCACCGGGAGAGCCGTCCCCGTCGAGGCTCCCACCTGCCGCCCGGCCGCGCTGCCCCCCCTTATGCCACCCCACCCCGGAGCCCTGGGTCGCTCTCCGCTCTCCCCCCGCCGGCAGCGCGCTTTGCCCGACGTGCGCCCGTCAGCGGGGTGCGCTCTGCGAGGAAAGCGGCCCTTAATCCTCCCTTGCTTCCCAGGGCAGAAGCGACGAGGGATGTACCAGGCGAGGAGCAGCTTCCCGTTCCTTACACGATCGGCTCCGTCCCGTGATGCGGGGGTTCTTCACGCGTTGCCGCACCGGCGCTCGGCCCGTGGTGGCTGGTCAGGAGGGAGGAGGGACGTGGGCATCTCCGCTGGCACAGGCTGCCCAGCGCGGCGGCCCCGGGCCCCCCAGCAGCTGCCTGCCCCCAGCCATCCCGGGCCACCTGCGTTCCAGCTGACTCCAGGAGTGCCGGCTGTGTGTGGGGGGGTGAAACTAATTTAATCAGCATTTGTGTGAGGCGGTGAGGAGGGCAGCAGAAAACCTGGATCTGGATCCCCCTGCTCCCTGAGCCCACCGAGGCTGAGCTCACGGCAGCGTGGTCCCCAGGCTCACCCCCCCCAGTCCCACCCGCGGATGTCGCTGCAACGAGCGCCAGGATCGAGGAGGGCAGTGCGGAAGGGCACGGCGCTCGCACGGCGCTGGAGCTGCCCACCCGCTGCACCACCTGCGCCAGGCCCCGGCCCGCATCACCCGCTCCCGGAGGAGCCGGTTAGCCACATCCTGTTGCTTCGGGAGAGCAGGTTGCAGGGGAGGGGTCTCCCCCGCCGGGCTGGCAGATGCTGGAGGAGGAGACCCCAGCTGGCCGCAGGGCCCAGGGGAAAGACTGTTTGCAGCTTGCAACCTTGTAGCACAAAATGTATTTCCCCAGCACAGGGAAAAGGGATAAACAAGGGCAAAGCCACCGAGTGACAGCGAAGGGAAGTAGGAGGTGGACAAGGGAAGCTCCGGACTCCTGGAGTCGGGTGCAGTAGGTGTGTTGCGTTGTCTCTGTTTGGAATTTGGGCAGCCAGGAGGCTGCAAGTTGCAAAGCTCCAGCAGTGCAGTGCAGATACCGACGGGGCAGGCAAACACTGGGCCAATGTGTGTGAGCCAGATGTGAGCGTGGTGCAGAAGGAGGATGTCAAGGAAGTACAGGACTTTGTGCAAGGGCCTGGAAGCAGAGTGGAATGACTGAGGAGAAGGGGCAGAAGGGAGTACAGCTCCAAGACATAAAGCTGGAGTCATCCCAGCAACTGATCTGAAGTTGTTTTCCCCACCAGAAAACACAAGAACTATCACAAACACGAACCGTGATGCTGAGCCACCTTGGCCTGGTTGATGCAGTGTGGTGCAAGGCTGGGTGACCTTCCAAAATTTCTGTGTCCCCAATCAGTGGAAAGCACTGACTCCCTTGTCCTGGGACCCACAAGTGACACGAGAGAGGTTGGCCTCTGTGTGGGGAGTCCTGGAGCTGGTGTGCACAGACCTCACATCAGCAAAAGCCCAGGCAGAAGACTCAGAATCTGGTTTCCCCATTTCCACTGCTCCCTGCACATTCCCTCTTTCCAGGAGTAGACAAGGGCTCAAGAGAAAAAAGTGAATCTGGGCTTTTGGCAAACTGGGTGCTGAGGAAGGCAGCAGGGACTGAACTCTTGCCGCAGTGGGAGCTGGACTATTGAGACCCTGCTGGGTGCCAGCGTTTGTCCTTTGGCACAGGGATACCCGACAGCCCAGTGATGCTCAGCCATCACAAAGACCCCTGGGCTGTGGGAAGGAGGGCTGGGAGGAAAAGTAGGTGCATGGGCTGCGCTTTTCCTGTCGCCCTGCTGCCCACGGGGAGCTCTGCCCATCACACCCACTGCTCTCTGTGTGCCCATCCGCTCCTCTCCTTGTGCCAGCCTGGTGGAACCTGAGGGAGACGGAGACGGTTGGTGCCAGGCAGGCTCCTCACTTAGCGGTGGGGCCACGGACACGGCCGTCGGAGGAACCCCTACTCGGGACGGGCGTCGCACCCTCCGCAGGTACCCAGGGCCGGGCACCTCGGCGCTGCCCCAGCTGCCAGCTCCCTGCCCCGACCCCGCCGGCAGCGCTGGGGCCGCGGTCCCGCACCGAGCCCCGTTCCGGGGGTTCCCGGCGCTGCGCGGCGCTCGCTCGCCCTCTGCTGGTCCCGCATCCCCCGAGCAGCGCTGCGGGGCGGAGGAGGGAGAAGGCGCGGGGGAAACGCTCCGTGCGGGGCGGGCTCAGGTCCCCGGGCGGTCCTGCCGCCCCTTTTTTCCCCTTTCCAGAGCGCTCCCTTCAAATCTTCCCAAGGAGAAGATTTGCTGCCTGAAAGAAGGACTCGTCCCGTTGCTGCTCCCAGCGGGCTGCTGTCCCAGTGAGTGGGAGAAGAGCATCCTACCTTAGCCACCAGGTTGTCCTCAGGGCGATTCCACAGTTGCCGTGTTTCCCTTCTCTCTGTGCCGTTTACTCTCTGAAGGATGCTCTGCCCTTCACCCGCCTTCCTCTTGCCAAGCTGCAGTTCTCCTGGCACACACATCTCCCCGCCGTGCTGTGCTCAAAGCCTGTCCCCACACCTGGTCTCTTCTGTGCGCAGGTCACCCCTGCAGTCCCTGGGAAATGAAGCGTGGCACTGCAGAGAGCTGTGAGCTCTGCAGGGATCAACGTGCCTTTGCCTCTGCCCTCCCAAGGGAATGCTGAGCCGCTGCGGCCCAGCTCTCATTTACCCACAAGCTGTTTGTCGCTGACATAAACACCCATTTTCAAGCATGAGCAGAAGTGAGAACCAGATCCTGCTGGGGACAGGGTCTGTTGGTTGAAAAATGTGCAATGAACGTGGCCTGGGGAGAAAAGAATCAAGGTGTGACATCACTGCTGCAGAGCGATGCTGTGTGCACTTTTTCCCTTTCCACCCAGCTCAGAGGTGTGTAAAAACACACTTGCAGAGTGCTGTAGGAGGAGGGTGCTGGGACCAGGACAGACATGCAGACAGGTGGGTGAGCAGTGCCCAGTGACCCCCACACGCCCCAGCACCCACAGCTCTGCTGGGCGAGTGGTGCGGACGGTACGAGGCCGGATCCGGCCCCGGCGCTGCCAGGAGATGGAGCCGTCTCACCGCCGTCGGCTCCGTGCTGCAGCCCTGGTTCCTCCTCAAGTGCCGCTGCCGCTTTCTCCCTCTGTTTGAGCCCCCGGGACCTTTGCTCTAAGCGAAGGCAGAGCTGGCTGCTCGCTGAGTGGGGCTGCGTGGGTGCAGAGCAAGGGCTGCTCCTGGGGGACACCTCAACGAGTTGCAAGGGATGAGCGCTGCTGTTCAGGGACCCAAAAACTGTCCACAGGCCTGGAGTAGTCAGCAAACTACAGCATTAGTGTGAAGAACAAGAGCTTTTTGAATGAATTTCAGCATCCCTGGGGGCTGGGGACACCCCCTGTCACCTCCAAGCTGTGCCCACCGGCCCCAGGTCTGCAGGAGCAGGGCGATGTCCCCCTGCCTCACAGAATTCTGGCACATGAGTTGTGCTGACAGCTCCTCCTGGTGCTGGAGAGCGGGTGTCCAACACAGAGAGTGGCTGCAGGCACTGCGGTTGGAGCACAGCACGCTCCTCATGCTGCAGGGACATTCTCAGAGCTCCCACTGCAGACCTCCCCACAGAAGCCATGCTGCCCAGCATTGCTGGTGCCTGCACTGCACCCTGAGCCTGGTGGATGGAGCCGTCCCGTGAGCCAGGAGCTGCTCACGCAGGGCTCTGCCATGGCCAGGGCTGAGGTTTGGTTCAGTTTGCTCCAAACCGATCCAACCTTCAGTGCTGGGTGGGCTGAGATTGGGATTCTAGAAACCCTCAAGCACTCGGGGCATGGCTGTGCTGCACAGTGTGGCACTTGTGGAGAGGGCAGCTCCTGTTCCAAAGCATCACAGCCAGTGCTTCTCCACTGTTGCCTCCAGCAGAACCCAGAACCCTGTGCTCTCTGCTAGCAGCCTGTGGCTACAGAGTCTGCGTGATTGTGAGCAGCAGTGTGATGGCAACAAATCCCTGAGTGTTGAAGTGCTGGTGGGATCCAAGCGTCTGCTTCCTTGGCCTCTCTGGGACTGCTGGCACGCAGGTAGGCTGCAGGGCTGAGAGTAATCCCCAGGAGGATGCAGGAGGAGGGTGAGAACTTGCTCAGATAGGCATGCAGGAGGTAGCAGAAGCCTCATGCCCAGCAGAGGCTGGGCAGCATGGTGCTCCCAGAGCCAGGCTGTGCAGAAGGGTTGCACACTTCTCTTCCAAGCACAGCTGCGTGGCCCCTCACCTCGACACCCACATAAGCCAGCATGGCCCTTTCCCAGCATTTCCCATCCCACCATGTCCTTGTTTAGCATGTCTGTCCCAGCTTGACCCCGTTCCCCTGCGTCCCCTGTGTCCTCATCTCAGCATGTCCCCGTTCCAGTACATCCATCCCAGTGTATGTCCATCCCAGCATTTCCTATCCTAGATTGTTCCTGTCCCAGTATGTCCTGTCCCTTCACGTCCCCACCCCAGCATGTCCCTGCCCTAGCACAGTACCAGACTGTGCTCACAGAAGGGCTGGTCCTGCTTTGCTGCCTGGGGAGGTCACTGACCCCCAGTTCCACCCCTGAGCATGGAGCTGAGTAGCCACTGTGGTACAGCCCTGAGGAGTCTTTGTGGCATGGCAGCACGGCACTGAGCAGCCATCCTTGCTCATCAGCTCTGGAGCTTCATTCGGGTCTGTCCTGGGAAGGAGGCTGGGCAGTGCTGGGGTGTCCTGCTAGCAAACCCAGGGAGCTGAGTGTAGTGGAGCTGGGGTGATGGAGAGGGAGGGGGGTGTGGGGAGAGGAGGCAG